ATATATATATATATATATATATATATATATATATATATATATATATATAGACACGTATTCAATTCATGACTACACTTTTATTATATACGTAGAAAATATATATTTTAACAAAGATATATATATATATATATATATATATATATATATATATATATATATATATATATTACCAAAAGCATTAGAATGTTTTACAACTTTGTTTTTATAGAAAAATATCAATTTATTATATAAAAACTAACATATATTAAAAAAAGAAAACTAACTTATTTTAAAATATTGCAAAACTTTTTGTTAATTTCCTTTTTATATAAAAATAAATTTTATATAAAAATCATCCTAAACTAACATATATTTATAAAATGTTGCAAAACTTTTTGTAAACTTACTTTTCGTATAAAATATCAATTTTATATAATAATCATCATATCTTTATAAAAACTAACATATTTTTATAAAATGTTGTAAATTTTTTTGTAAACATTCTTTTTATATAAAGTATAAGTTTTATATAAAAACTATCATATTTTCGTAGAAACTAACATATTTTTATAAGATGTTTGCAAAACTTATCCTAAACTCTATTTTTATAAAATATTGACTTTATATAAAAAGTAGTCCACCACTTTAGTGTATTTACATTTTTGACCTTACTTTATTAACGTCTTTAACAAATTAGGTTTATTGTTCATGATTCTCGTAAACTGTCATACTAGAGAGTATTTGAAGTCTAACACTTAGTTTTTGAGCAACATAAATATCAAGCATATAGGCTTTAGCATAAGAATGATGTCCAAGAAACATATATTCATATTTAAGTTTAATGATTTCATATAAATATATTTTACCACATTTAATGTACATAAAATGATGTGGTAATTAGTTTATGATGCATGTAAACATTTCAACTTATAATTGTTGAATTAGGTGTCTAAACCAAGAACTAAATTAGTATAATCTTGAATTATTAACAAAGTCCTTTTGGGTTGCCCTCAAACCTAGCAATTGACTAAAATGCTTTTTGGAGGGAGAGAGATTGATTTATTAATCTATTGTATGATTAATAAATTAATTAGAAATCAAAATAAATAATTTATTAATATATTATGAAAATGATATATTAATTAGAAATAATATTGTTTAATTAACAAATAATTGGAATTAATTGAATTAATTAAAAGTGGAATGACTAAAGGTGACAATGTTCAAAAGTTGAACATTGACCGATTCTAGAATCTCCCATAAGGGTAAACGGTTTCTAGATGGTTATTAGGGTTTTCCTTGGGCATTAAGGAAGCATAGGAATCCTTAGGGAGCAAAACAAGGGATAAAGGTTATCTAAGGAAACATGCCTTATCCTAGCTCCTCAGTCACCTAAATAAACCCTCAGAAGGGTTCATATTTTCGACCATCATAATTCCTAAGAGAATTCCGAAAATTCCCTTCCTCCTCCTCTCTTCTCTTTAGCCTCCAATTTGCTAGGGTTTGGGTGTGAGCCATTAGAGGCTCGTGACTTCTGGTGCTTGCTTTCTGAAGACCAACAAGGAAGGATTACTAGTTTATTTGCTAAAATTAATAAAGGTATGTATTTTCTAATAACCCTTTAGTAATTTCGAAAATAGCAATGTAGTCCTCGGGTTCTTGATATTCAATAGCTGTTTGCAAATCATAGTGAGAATATAGATCATTTAGAGTGCATGTGAACTTAGGGTTTATATTTTTATGCCAAAAGTAAATTTTTTGTTACATATAAAATCCATCAAATAATTTGTACGTTGTTGTAATATCGATGAAAGATTTGGTAATAACAAGTTATAAGTGTAATATCAAGTATTTAGCACATTATAATAATAAAGTTTCATAATAACATGCAAGATATGTATGTATCTCCCCCCTAAAGATTAATAAAGCTTAAAATGGGGCCATAAAGACTTATCCTCGTTGCGTGATTTCATATTTGGTTTGTTTTTGTGAAGCTTGTCGTGATAAACCACAACTTTACACTTTTTGAGTTTAAAACTAACCACTGGTATTTTTTTTTTGTAATTTTATTAACCAAAAGGGACTATTTTTTTTATCAATCTAGACAAATGGAGGCTATTTTGGTCTTATTAACACAATAGGGGGTTGATTTGGTTATAACCTAAAAAAATGGGGCCTAATTTATAAATACTTGAACAAATGGGGTTGTTTTAAATAATCCAAATTATTTGAGGGACTGTTTTGGTCATTTAACACAAAAAAGGTCTGGTTATGTTTAATGGTTCAAACAAAAAGAATTTGGGGCTCTTTCCTCTTCAGATCGAGAAAAGAAGGAACACACGAAGGCAGGAAGAAAAATGGTGGAAATGGATTCAGTCAACATTTAGGGGGTGTTTGGATTAGCTTATTAGCTTATTTGTGGTGGGAATAAACAATAAACAATAAACAATGGGGGAGATGCTTATTAAAATTAGCTTATTTAGCTTATTCCTAACACAATAAGCTGATTTTTATGGATTTTATCCAAACACTTAAACTTAGCTTATTGTGGTGGGAATAAACAATAAAATATAAGCACCCTCGTCTTTTCCTATCCAAACACCCCCTTACAATTGATATGCTTGGGTCTCGATTCCTTGGCAGATCGGAAGAAAACACGAAATCGATTGCAGACAAACAAACAAATGCCACCAGCGCTTGATTGGTTTGAGGATGGAGATGAACGAAGCAACAAGGCTGCTCAAGCTGTTACTAATCCATCACTTCTTCTTCCTCGGAAGGGATATGCAAGGGTGAGGGATCAGAAGGGAAGCATCCTATCTCTTATGAGCCCTCTTGGGTTTCTTTCTCGTTGCCGACAATAGGAAAATGAAGGGGCAATAGCAGCAGCGATTGGAGACAGTGGAGGAGGTGTTCGAGGTGGATGGGAAGTTGGTGAAAAGGAGGAGCACCACCGGTGCTTGGCTGATCGAAGGAGGCAGAAAATAAGGGTGGCAGCAAAGCTGTCGCCGACATTGTGTGGCACCAAGGGCTGCTCCGGCGGCCCTTGGCTGTCCGTTATTCTGTCCGGAAGCAAAACACAAGGGGATCGAGAAGCTGGCGACAAGAGTGACTCCCCCCCCCCACCCGGTGAGGGGGGGGGATGTTTGGCTTGCTTCGATCAACAGAAAAGGGGTGATGCCTATTAGATTTCACAGAAAAAGAAAGATAACATCTTGTGGGGTGTTGTTTGGTAGATCACGAAGCATAAAAAAAGAACAGGGAGAATGTTTGACTGAGTTTTGAGGCTGATCATCTGTGAATGATAAACACACAGGGTTGGACATTTACGCTCTCCCGTAAGTGTACTGTGAGTGAGAAATGTCATGCCCTTTTTTAATCACGAATGTACTATTTTAGCTAGAAGTGTAAGCAATGCCAAAGCCCCTCAATAATCCTAGTGTACTAATGTTTCATTGAGAGGGAAAAGAAATTCACTTGGGAAGTGCACATAATTGAGTGTATGGACTGTTCATGGCTGGTATTGGAGTCTTGGATGCACGTATAGAGGTACAAGACAAGTGATGTCATACTTGTAAAATTAATTTTGTCTCAAAATGGCTTCCTCGGTGTGTGTGCCAGATTCCTGATATCTAATAATTTTTCTGAGGTTGACGAATGATAGTCTCGGGTATGAGTATTTCAAAAACTCAGACGAATCCAAAATATGATATGTAGAACTCCGGGTAAATCCATTTAAAATTTTGCGATTAATTGAATCTGATTTGACAGTTTTTGCGACTTTAAATAATCTAGGGGTTAAAAATATTGTGATTATGAAATCAAATGTTAGACCTATTCCTGAGTCCAAAAATGTTATCGGAATTCTCATATGAGGTGTGCAAGTACTTCAACGGATCAATTCGATTTTTGTTTATTAAGAAAATCAATATATATTTTATTGATTTGGTTTCTTAAAACGGTCGTAACTTCTGCATACGATCTCCGTTTCTGATGTTTTTATATCCACGAAGTCCTATGAGCATAATCTATTCAATTTGACATAAATTGATCCTGAGCATACTGTATGCAAATATTCATTTTTAACTTCACAAATAGAATTAATTTTTGTGATTTTTGATTTGATCTTTAACGATAGTCGGTTTGTCGAGTAGTTTGAGCCGTTTTGAAGGTAATTATGACGATAATTTATTCAATATATATTATAAACATAAAATTACACAATTTTGGTGTTTTACACATATCGATTCATAGTGTTCTGACCGCCAAACAGTAAACACTGACCTAATTTTACCAATTGTTACAATTGGGTAGGAACATGAGCATTTTTGTAGCAGTGAAAGTTATTGTTTTTCAACTAGTGAAAACCAAAATTTTATGGTTGAAGGTTATGTAAAATTTTTGGTTAACCGGTAGTGCATTCGTACACATAAGACGTTACTCGCACACAAGTTCATTGAACTGAACCTAATTCGGTTAGCTTTGACACCTACCCTCTATACGTGCAAGAGAGAGCATTTGTGCCGTAAGACTTACAAAACTTATAAGCCTTTGTACTTATGATTCACTTTCTTTTCATTCCCTCACACATGTGGGATGAATAAAGCACATTAAAACATTTTGTTAACTTCTTCCAATCATCTTACTTTAGCATACAGCTCCTCATTCATCTTAAATCTCTTAAACGAAGGAATGAATGTATGATGTAGAAGAACACAAATATATACCCATTTGTCCATTTTAATTTACTAATGTTTAGAGTTTGAAACTCGTGTTCAAAAATAAAAAAAGAAACTATCATTTTTGAAATTAGTTAAAACTAATTTTCCAAGATCGTGGTGATACTTACCTTAATTTGGCTGGGCCTTGAAGATCATGTTTCCATGTTGGGACCAGTGTCTCTTGAAGATCATGTTGTTCGCTGAACTGGTGACCATGTCCACAAGATGTATATAACCACATACAACGACATACAACATGGCTTCTGTAACTATTATTTTTAATATTTTACAAACTATTTGAGCTTATGTATCCAACAAATTATATATATGATCATTCGAAGATTTGAGATCATTTAAGTTCGATCTCCATCTTTTATCTTCATCTTCTCGAGAAAAGTCTTTCCATTGAGCTTACGCGAGAAAAAGTCTTTAAGATACTGTTCCATTACGAGTGTTTTATACAAGGGTGGGTTTCCTGTGTTTCTTATGAGGCTCTTCGAGGGTCCAACATCTGCTTCCAACTTTGGATTAAAGAACATGGCTAAAGACATCCTCTCTTTTATGGCATTGACAACTGCCCTATGCTCAATACTGTTGTATATACCATTGCTCAATATCTGCATATTATTCCCATCAAGCATTTACTACTTTTCTTAAACCAGAAAACATCGACATTCAACGCATCTATATTCCGAATGAATACAATATTGTAACATAAGTATCAATAATATAAAATAAATGTTTCTAAGATTAAGACTTTTTTTTTTAGGTTTTGTATGATCAAATACGACAATTAGAACATAAAAGTTGTTAATTAATGATCTAATCAGCATATAGATAAAGTTCTTTTTATATGAACACAAAACGACAATCATACCCAAGACAGATTCACCAATAATTGACGACATTTAAGATGTTTCCTAATTAAACAAATGTGATTGTCAATTTCATACATACCCACGTTTCAAAATTGACATAAAAAATCATACACCTTTATTTCTTTTTCTAACTTATCATTCTCGACTTCATTTTAGGTTTAACGTGAAAGCAAAATGACATGAAAAAAGGAAAAAGAAAAAATGAATTGATTGCGGTGTATATAAAGGATGGGCTAACCTCAAGAATATCACCGACATTCACAACGAAAGCATCTGGAAGGAAATTGACTGGGATCCATAAGCCATTTTTCTTAACTTGCAAACCTTCAACGTTGTTTACTTGAAGAAGAATCGTAATTCCAGCAGCATCTGAGTGAGGGGTAAGACCTACAGCCAAATCTGGTTGTGGGCATGGTGGATAGTAGGTCATCCTCACTGATTGCATTCCATCTTCAAAAATTTCTAACATTTCTCCCTTTTCAATGTCTACAGCTTGCCCGATTAAACTGAACAACGTCATACCAAGTTTTTGAAGTTCTAGCATATATTCCTCAAGTGTATCTCTGTTGATATAAACAAATTAAGTTCTTATTGTAAAAGCATATATTTTCGTGATCAATACGCTTAAAGAAACGTGTTTTTATGAAACAATGTTAACAGCGTTAAATGAGTATAACTTTTGGCCATGCAACGGCATCCATAATCCATTAACTTTAAAGAGTTGAATGGATTGACACATCACTACCATTTTACTTTTTATTCAACTATACTCATTAACATCCACGCTACATTAAACAATACAACGATTTAATGGATTTCTATATATATTTAGTTTGAAATTTAATTGAATATATTTAGTTTGAAATTTAATTGAAAAGAAAAAGATTAAATCCATTGAAGCATTCAATGATCATGCAACTCTCATTCAACTCTCATCCATCTTATCACTCACATTCTATTAAACTTCTATTTAATCCTAGTCATCTTCTCTATTCAACTCTTATTAAATCCCATTGTGGATGTTCTCAGGTATGATGGTTAACTAACTAAAAACGTTTTACTCTTGCCTATAGCCACAGCTGACACATATATATTTGTTATACAGCTAAATATAACGGATTATATTTGGATACACTATTTAAGGTACGAGTTAATTAAGATCTATGATGAGAGAGAGAGAGAGAGAGAGAGAGAGAGAGAGAGAGAGAGAGAGAGAGAGAGAGAGAGAGAGAGAGAGAGAGAGAGAGAGAGAGAGAGAGAGAGACCTTAGTAATGGAGGGAACTGTGGAAGTAAGTTGGATTTTCTCCTATGAAGAGGATTGGTGATCATATAAAAACGATCAGCCCAATCCATTTTCTGACCTTGAGCATGGAGTATGGTTTGGCCATACCCTTCATACTCACCTCCCTTCAACTTATACCTCAGCTTCTCTTCCATTGGAGTATTGAAAAATTCCATCAACTGGTTTTTCATTTTTTCCACCAACGATTTGTCAACACCATGATTCACCAACTACAAATCAATTCAAACTTCCAGTCACACCTATAATATATAGAAGGCCATCATAAGTTTGAGCTACAACTTAAGCAATACTTAACCTGAAAGATGCCCCATTCGTGGCATACAGAGCGCAGATGTTCTAGTTTAAGATCCATATTGGATCCTACCCTGATCAAATCATTCATGTCGATGACTGGTATAGAGGGGAAAGTTGAAGAACAGTTGTTAGGGACAAAGGTGGGTTCTAGATGTTCCTGTACATACTGGTGAGGGATGATGAGTGTGAGTTCTTTTGCAAGCTCTTGAACACTCTCATGGCTACCTGGTAATGGTTGCGAGAAAGCCATTTCAGAGTTTAGATGCTTTTCGTTTATGTTGCAAGTGGGATTTCACGTCGGATATGACAGACACAGCTTGATAGTGGATTAATTGTATATGGGGATTATAAGACAATCTTTCTAAACAAGTTTTGATTGATATGGTTTTAATAATTTTTGTAATATGATTGATAATGACAAGTATCTAATACTACAAAAGATAATTAGACCATCACTGTTGTGTTCAACTTGGAAAATTTTTATTGGTTCCTTTAAAAACTGCAATATACCTTATAGTAAAAGTATAATTTCAAGCAATAACTGGTATGGGTTTGTTATTATTATTAGCTATTGGAATAAATAATACTTTAGTCACTTCAATAATAATTAAATTGTGATCTACACGTAGGGTGATAAAAGTTTTACCCATGCACTGCCACAAAATAACACATAGAATACTGTTAAAATAAAACATAGAATACGGTTTTGCAGCCGTACTCAATAAGGGGAGTTTCCTATTCGAACATGTAATACAATACGGTTGTAAAACCGTACTATATAATCATCATAAAGTACGGTTTTTTTTAGATAATACGGTACGGTTGCAAAACCGATACTCTATAATCATTATAAAATACGGTTTTTAGGGTTTTTTTTTTAAAATAGATGTATTCTTTAAGGAAACACATAGAATATTGTTTTTTCAATGTAACCATACTCTTTATAAAACATTATAAAGTACGGTTTCTTATTGCCTAAAAACATTCTAAATAAATATATTTTATAAAGCAAATACAATAATTATACTTTTCTATAAAGAAAACATGCCTATAAATAATTTGTATACACAAACATTTCATGAACAAAGCAGAATATATATAAAAGTCAAAACAAAAGCATGATTAATCATTAATTTCTAAAATTAACAATATCCAATTCAACATAATTTTCAGTACATCCAATTTGTCCATCCTAATCAATGAAAAATTAAATATATATAAAAAGACAAATAGATTCATCTGGTAAATGTCAAACTGTAACATCGCGGCAATGAAGTATTTCCAAAATTAACCCTTAAGTATGAAGGTTTATGATTTTAGCCCTTGGAATGAGTTTTGTTTGCAAATTTGACCCTTAGTGGCATTTTGGTGATTTTGGCCAAAGATCTAGTACGCTAGGAGTACGTTGTGTACATCGGGCGTACTATGGCGGACCTTAGTACGCTAAGCGTACACCGCGTACGCAGGGCGTACGTGAAGAATCCTCAAACCCTAATTTTTAGGGTTTGGTCCATATATAAGCATCATTATCACCTCATTTCTCATTCCCTCATCAGCCTCCATCTGAGAAAACGTCCCTCTAGTTAACCCTAAGTGAGAAGAGTGCATATTGAGCTTATTTTTGTGTTTTGCGGTATTCTTGAAGAAGAAGAAGGTGGTGGGAAGACCTTGAAGCTTGGAAGCAAATTGGATCTGAGATTCTCTCCTTGCTAGCAACCTCTATGAGGTAAAAAGCTCATAACTTGATCATCTTATCTTGTAGATCTAGCCATTTCTTCATTTAGGGCATTTTTGGTCCCAACTATGATGATTCTTGAGCATGACATGCTCTTAGTCAAATAAGTCGTCCTTTCAGACCTAATGAGGGGTCTTGAGTCATAAAAATGTGGTCTTGATGCTTAGTTTTCACCATGCATGCTCTAGAAGGTCTTAAGGTGCTCGCAAAATCCAACCACTTCACCTACTTCATTGCCCCCAACCCTTTCTCGTAGTTGGGATTTTGTGTATTAATGCAAAATCATAATGTAACATCCCAAAATTCATGGCCAAAAATTTCATTTTTAATATAAGAAAACACTTAATAACCTTGTCCCAAACATTGAAAACATTTCATTTAAAATAAATATCAGAGTCTAATCCCAAAGATCACATAATGCGGAATAAAATGGGTAAATGCACTACGATCGTCCCAAGCTCCTTTTCTTGAAAACTGAAGATACCTGAAACCAAAACTGTAAACCATAAGCACGAAGTTTAGTGAGTTCCCCAAATACCACATACCATACATATCAACTGGGCCATACATGCCATACATACTGTGATCCATACATATCAATCAAATGAGGTGCTATGTGCCGCACATAGTCTTGCCGTTATGCCACGGGCCGCCACGTGGTCTTTCTTGCCAAGTCGGGGGTCACCCCCTGGGTCTTACAGACAAGTGCCAAGAGCCGCCTCCTGGTCTTCCATGCAAGTATCACAAAGACAACTAGCATACATACTACTCTACTTAGCTAATGAGCATAAAGTATGCCAGGAGCCACCTCCTGGTCTTTCATACATATTGCCTAGGGCTAACCCCCGAGTTTTCTTGTCATACATAATAACATACTGGGTGCCAGGAGCTACCTCCTGGTCTTTCATACATAGTGCTTAGGGCTAACCCCCGGGTCTTCCTGTCATACATAATAACATACTGGGTGCCAGAAGCTACCTCCTGGTCTTTCATACATAGTGCCTAGGGCTAACCCCCGGGTCTTCCTACCAAACATAAACTAAATGGGTCGGCATTGTGGCCGTATACCCATACAAACAGTGAGGAGACTCACCTCACAAGCTGACTGCCGAATCCCGCGAATGAACCCCTCACTGCTAGCTGGCAGATCCCTGAACTGCTGATCTCTTTACTTCCCGAGCTACCGGTCATCATACAACTTAAATAAGTATGGGATTCTTATAACTTAATCATAAGTCCGCACTGGGGTAGAAGACCATTCCACCCCTCACATACACTTGTCCAAAAACCTTCATAAGCCAAACTAGGTCGACCTTGGTCAAAGTCAAAGTCAAAGTCAAAGTCAACGCACCGAGTTGACTCAACTTGTCGAGTTGCTCCATTAACTCGTCGAGTTCCAAAACTCAGAATCCCGAATTCGTGACCCAACTCGTCTAGTCAACCCCTGACTCGTCGAGTTTCCTGGATACTCATGGTCCACAAGTCACCCACACCATACTAATGCATCCAAACATAGATCTGGACCCAAGCATCTCATAACCATGCAAAACTCCTGCCTTTTCCCTTCCATACATGGCCTTTTGAGCTAAAAAGGCCAAAAGATTGCTCTATTGCTTGCATGGGGGCTCCTATGGCATAAAGCTTGCACCTTTATGCCATTATAGCCCTTAATGGTTCTAGATCTGAAAACATAAGCCTTTGGGACGTCCATTTCTCACATGCTAGGGTTCTTGGACCAAAAACCCTCAAAAGTGACAAAGAGGAGATCTAAGTGCATAATGATCAAGGTTGGAACTTTCTTACCCGAAAATGATGAAGAATGCAAGAGGTTTCTGGATCTACTAGCCTCTTCTTGTATCCCCAAGGATTCTCTTTCTTCTTCAAGCTTCAAAGCACCCAAAAATACTCATAAATGGCTCACAAGCTCATGGAAGGCACTAGGTTTTCGTGGATTAGGGTTTGGACAGTGGGGGCTGAGAATGGTGCTGAAAGATGGAGAATAAGATGCTTAAATAGGGGACAAAAGCCCGAATTTAGGGTTTCCCAAACCCAGACCAACTCGCCAAGTTGGTCCTCCTACTCGCCGAGTAGGTCACTTAACCCACATCACAAAAACTCACTCCTACTCGTCGAGTCATCCCTCTAGACTCGGCGAGTAGACTTATTGACTTGAGGTTTTCCTTTCTTTTCTAGGTCTTCTAAATTCGGGGTGTTACACATAAAGTTGGAAACTTTATGACTCTTAGTGGTATTTTGGCATTGGATCTGAAATTTGGACGTGAGAGCTTAATGCATTAAGCTCTTATTGAGGAAAAAGGAAGTTTGTGCGTACGCCGTGCATAACCCAACGTACGCCGCACGTACATGGTCAATCTCCCGACTCTTGTCAAAGCTTGAGTACGCCCAGCGTACTCAGCTAAGTGGACCAAGTTGACCATTGACTTTGACTTTGACCAGGGTTGACCAAGTTTGACTTAAGGGGCATTTTGGGTATTTTGAGCTATAGTTAATCCTTGGTCTCATATCTGTTGAATAGGTGACTCGTAGAGTTGGTGTTTAGAGCAGTATATTGTTCACCTATTCGTTAGACTGTGAGGTGAGTTTTCCTCACTCTACCCGTTCTTCGAAGGCACCAATGCCGGCCCACTAGATTATTTATCCTTGTTAGGATAGTTATATGATAGTTTGTAGCTGTTCAATAATCCGTATGATTATCTATATTTTTTGGCTCCGTGTTTATGTTTATTCGCTGCATATGTCGACATGTCGTGTTGGGTAGAGGCGGTCCTGCTTTGTGCTGTAGGCCAAGACACCCGGGGACAACCGGATAGGTTGTAGACCCTGTGAGGCGGTCCAATTAGACCAGCGGCCCATGGAGCGGTCTGGATAGGCCGTAGGCCCTGCGAGGCGGTCCAGTCATGCCGAAGGATCGTAGAGCGGTCCAGATAGGCTGTAGGCCCTACGAGGCGGTCCAGTCAGGCTGGTTGCTCATATTGTATGCTCGCTTGTAATGTGGTGTGCTGGTACTTTGGGGGAACTCACTAAGCTTTGGCTTACTGTTTTTAGTTTATCGTTTCAGGTACTTCAGAGGATCATGGAAAGGAAAAGGTGTGATCGTACACAACTTCCTGTTTTTATGTCTCTGGGTCTTGGGAAAACTCTGATTTGAAATAATTCTTTTGAAACAATAACTCTTTTTGTAAACAATATTGGTTCATGGTTGGTTTTGAAAAATTTAAATTTATTGTGATTTTTTGGAGTGTTACAAGTTGGTATCAGAGCCTTGGTTTGAGCGAATTGGATGAACAGTCGTGTGAATCCAGACTCAAACTAGGGAACTTCAAAAGTTTTAAAAATGATTTTCAATTTTTTTTTCCAAAAGTAACCAAGGAAGGATGTGATATGTACGATCAGCCAGAGCCAGTAAGTATACCCTAAGTTACCACACTGTTATATGTTAGGATATGGTAGAACATCATGCTAGTTGTAGGATAGGGATCTTCAAGAATTGCATGATAGAATTGCCTGATGTATGATGCCTTATTTCCTATAGAGTTTTCTTGCTTATTATTGTAGGACTCTTTCGGGTGTGAATTAACTATTAATTGA